ATGTTTTAATCAGTAAGACCTGAATTCACCATCATGTACATTGTAACAGCGTGAGTTCACAGTGTAAAACAGTGTATGATAATAGTAGTGATAGCAGTAAGACCTGAATTCACCATCATGTACATTGTAACAGCGTGAGTTCACAGTGTAAAACAGTGTATGATAATAGTAGTGATAGCAGTAAGACCTGAATTCACCATCATGTACATTGTAACAGCGTGAGTTCACAGTGTAAAACAATGTATGATAATAGTAGTGATAACAGTAAGACCTGAATTCACCATCATGTACATTGTAACAGCGTGAGTTCACAGTGTAAAACAGTGTATGATAATAGTAGTGATAACAGTAAGACGTTTAAAATTTCTAACAGCTGAAAATAGGAACAGAAGCAGAATAATGGAGCAGACAGAGAATAATGGGGATTCTTCTTATCGCCCCCATGTCAGAGTGACAAAGTGTTAAGTGCAGTGCAGCGCTTAAGGGTCAGTCTGTGGCTTTTAGTTGTGGGTTAAGGGGGGGTTGAGGCAGTGATGAGGCAGAATGAGGGATCCTGGTGGGGCAGCATGGTGTTGAGGAGCCTGACAGCCTGGGGGTAAAAACTGCCACGCAGCCTGGCAGACCCGGCTCTGATGCTGCAGTATCTTCTCTCAGATGGCTAGAGTGTGAGATGACCATGTGAGGGATGTGATGGGTCCTGCACAATGCTGCAGACCTTGTGGACACTGAGTTTGCAAAAAGTGGCTTGTAGGGAAGGGAGAGGCATCCCATAATATTCTCTGCTGTCTTCACTACTCTCTGCAGGCCCTTGTGGTCAGATTTGTTACTGCTGCCATAGCAGATGGTGATGCAGTTAGTCAGAACACTCCCGATGGTGCCTCTGTAGAACATGGTGAGGATGGGAGGGGGAAGGTTGGCTTCTTTCAGCCGCCTCAGGAAGTATAGTCTCTGCTGGGCTTTCTTCAATAAGGAGGTGGTGTTTTTTGTCCATGTAAGTTCCTCAGTTATGTCCACACTGAGGAACTTGGTGCTCCTTACAATCTCTACAGCAGTGCCGTTGTTGCTGAGTGGGGTGTGGGCAGGACGTGTCCTTCTGAAGTCCACAGTTATCTCCTTTGCCTTGTCAACGCTGAGAGATACATTGTTGTCTCTGCACTGTGTGGACAGCCTTTCCACCTCTTCTCTGCAAGCCGATTCATCATCTCTGCTTATTAGTCCCACCACAGCCATATCCTCCGCAAACTTGATGATGTGGTTGGTGTTATGCGTGGCTGTGCAGGCCTGGATCAGCAAGGTGAAGAGCAGAGGACTAAGCAGCCTTGCAGAGCTCCAGTGCTCAGCGTGATGGTGTTGGACGTGTTGCAGCCCATACGTACTGACTGGCGCCTCTCTGTCAGGAAATCCAAGATCCAGCTGCAGAGAGTGGTGTTCAAGCTTAACCCCCTCAGTTCCACAATCAGTTTTTGAGGGACATATTGAAGGTAGAGCTGAAGTCTATGAATAACATTCTGACATATGTGACTCTCTTATCCAAATGTGTCAGGTAAAGGTGACGGGCAGAGGCTATGGTGTCCTCAGTAGACCCGTTGGACCGGTATGCAGATCGGAGAGGGTCTAGAGAGGTAGGAAGGTTGGTCTTTATGTGTGACATGACCAGCCTTTCCAAGCACTTCATGATGATCGACATGAGTGCTACTGGGCAGTAGTCATTCAGGCTTGTCACTGATGGCTTCTTCAGTACTGGGATGATGGTGGTTGATGTGAAAATATCTGTGAGGACACCAGCCAGGTGGTCAGTGCATTCTCTCAGCACACGGCCAGGTATGTTGTCAGGTCCTGCAGCCTTGCGTGGGTTGACTCTGGATAGAGTACTTCTCGCATCAGCTGTGGACAGACAGAGTAGCTCGTCACTGGGGGGAGGTGTCGGCTCCTTCTTCTGTACATCAGAGTCAGCAAAAAAGTCGTTTAGCTCGTCTGGAAGGGAGACATCACCACCACTGATGTGTGCGTTGGGCTTGTAGATCGTGATTGGCTGAATGCCCTGCCATATGCGGCATGTGTCTTAGGTGCAATTAAAGTGTTCACTGATCCTCTGCGCATGTGCCTGATTGGCTATCCTCATAGCTCGGGACAGGTTGTCTCTGGGCGTCCTGAGGGCAGCCTTGTCTTTAGGTCTGAAAGCTGCATTTCTGATTCTTAGCTGTGTGCGCACTTCCCTCATCATCCAGGGCTTTTGGTCGGCTCTCGTGATCATAAATCACAGAGTTTATATACTCCTCCAGGTTGATGGAATCACCATTTATAGCAGCCTCCTTAAAAATGTCCCAGTCAGTAGATTCAAAGCAGTCTTGGAGAGCTGAGAGGCACCAGCTGGCCACACTCTTACTGACTGGTGTGATGAACTTCAGCAGGGATTTATACGCAGGAACCATGAACACAGAGACATGGTCTGAGTAGCCGAGGTGAGGGCGGGGAAGGGCCTTGTAGGGACGTGATCTGAGTAGCCGAGGTGAGGGCGGGG